AGAAAGCTTCATGAATATATATGTGTATATATAATTTATAACATTTATACATATAGTACATATGGTACAATTTATATATATACATAAGTATATATATACTTTATAAAACATTTATATAATACAAGGTCTGTCCAGAAAAAGTCCAGCCATTGTTAATGTAATGAGAACAGTTTGTACAACATTGATGTACCAGGCAGCCAAGGAGAGTGGACTGGAATGTGCATGAGTGAACAATGATGACTTCACTGCACTAGTCAATGGGGGTGGTAGATGCTGTTAGCATGTGTGCTGTGTGGTCATCTCATTCAAAATGACTGTATTAGTAGAGCAACAAGTCTGTGCCTGATTTTATATTATGTTTGAACATTCCTCCACAGATTCTATTTGGATGATTCAGGAAGCCACAGCTATTGGCAACTGATGATTGGCAGCTTCATCACAACAATGCGTCCACTCATGCATCATGTCTCATGCAGAGATTTTTGGCAAAACATCAAGTCACCCAGGTGACTCAGCCCCACTACATCTCAGATTTGGTGCCCTATGACTTCTGACTTTTCTCAAAGCTAAAATCACAGTTGAAAGGGAAGAGATTTTGTATTGTCAGTGAGATTCAGGAAAATATGATGGGGCAACTGATGGCGACTGAGGGAACTGTGGGAGGTTCCAAGGTGCCTACTTTGAAGGGGACTGCGGCGTCATTGTCCTGTGTACAATGTTTCTTGTATCTTGTACCTTCTTCAATAAATGTCTCTATTTTTCATATTACGTGGCTGGATACCTTCTAGACAGACCTCATATATATGGCACTTATACATGTACAGCGTTTATTCATACTGGGTTCAAATAAGATAAAAACTGAAAATATTTTTTATTTCATTTTTTAAAAAATAGTTGGTATCATTTTAGATAGATGGATATGAGAAAAGAGTTAAAAACAATACCTTCAACTTGAACAGTCTGGTAGTTTTTTAAAAAACACCTAGCACTTGTTCTGACTGCCTAAGAATAAAAATGATTTAGGAGCAAGTAGGTTTGAAGCAATCTTTAAGTCAAGTAGTATATAAAAGCAATTATAAGGGGTAACATGTTCTATGCTATGTGGGAAAAAGTATATAAAAATGTCAAAATACTAGCAATAAAAAGACTATAAACGTCATCCTTATGTCCAGTCAGGAAATGAAAGATCGTTGTACAGCCTGTGCTCTGAAAAAGTTAAAGTGCTCTATGAGTTAAGACGTTGTAGGATCAGGTCATTACTACTTCGCAGAAAGGAGAAGGGAGAGAAAGTGTACACAACATAAAAGTGGTTCTTTTATAACTTTCTTCCCATTTCTCTGTACGTGGCCTTGCATGGGGAGAATAAAAGGCAGACAGGGGTTCTCTCACGTTGCTCTCAGGGCAGGCAGGCTCCAAACAAAATGTTGGTGTGGACACACATGCTCACTTTCCTCCACTGTGTGTTCTGAACATAGCCTTCCCTTCACTGCGATGCTCCCTCCCTCTACCACGGTCCAAGGCTGTGGACCCCACCTGGCCTGCCTCCCAGACAGCACCCCAATGCCCCCACCCCCTCTCTCCCTGTCCTTCTTCACCAGCATTTGACTGCACTCAACGCCATTCTCTGGAGACTTGCTAGGTCCCTTGCCACTTAGATCAATGATGTAAGCTGAACATTTCTCATTGATAAATGACAAAGTGTGTTATCCAGCCTAGGAGATACTTCATTTCAATGCCTTATGCCAAAAAGAAAATGGCCTTATGCCAAAAAGAAAATGCCTTATGCCAAAAATAAAATGCCAAAGACCTTTCTGGCAAGGCCAATAGAGAAAACCTCTGTGGATGTTTAAAATTTATCCATTTAACCTTTTTCCTAAAAGGTTAACATATTCTTAAACCCTCCCAAACTCAACCAAGACTTAGCCTGCCAATCTCATTTCTAGTTCCACCAGAAATAAACCATAAAGTACCAGATCTTAAATCTTGAGATTTCCTCCCCTTAAACATGCATTCATACATTTTAAAAAAATGTATGTTTTGTTCAAGTTGGCCCTTGAACAACGCAGGTTTTAACCATGTGGGTCATTTTATATGTGGATAATTTTCAATAAATATATAGATGACCTTTTCTACCCCCATGTTTTGCATCCTTAAATTCAACCAACCACAGATGGAAAACAATATTTTCAATCTGCAGCTGGTAATCTGTGAATGTGAAGGTCCAATTGTATGAATTGTTTATGCAAGTTTATATAAGACCTTGAGCATCTTGATTGGTATTTGCAGGGAGTCCTGGAACCAATTCCCCATGGATGCTGAAGGATGACTAGTTAATTTTTTTGGGAATCAAAAGTTATACACAGATTCTCTCAGCAGTGCAGGAGTTGGCACCCCTAGCTCCAGCATTGTTCAAGGGCCAGCTGTATATTAACTAAAAGTTTAGCTCTGATCAGGAAGGTTGGTGGATTAAAGCATCATCCCAATGCACCAAGGTTGCATGTTTGATCTCTGGTTGGGGCACATACAGGAAGCAACCAATGACTGCATAAATGAGTGGAACAAAAAAATTGTTTCTCTCTCTCTCTCTCCCCTCCCTCCCCCCTCATACCCCTTTCCTCCTTCTCTAAATTCAATAAATAAAATTCAAGTAAAAGTTTCATAAATTTAGTCCTTAGGTCTGAGTAGAAATTTTACCTATATGATTGTACTAGTTTTCTATTTCTGTATAACACATTACCACAGAAAGACTTAAAGCAACATTGGCTTATTTGGTCATAGTTCTATAGGTCAGAAGTCTATGTGAGCTCAACTAAGCTATCTACTCAGGTTCTCACAGGCTGAAATCAAGGTGTCGGACTGACTGGGCTCTTTCCTGAAGGCTCTGGGGAAGAATCGCTTTCAAATGCAATCAGATTGTTGGCAGAATTCAGTTTTTTGTGGTGATAAAACTGAGGTCTTCACTTCCTTGGTGTCTGTCACTTAGGGACCACACTCAGTCCTAGATGCCACTCTCAGGTCCTTGTTCTACAAGTGCCTCCATGTCAACAACACAACTTCTTCACACTCATTGGCTCCTAGGCTTCCAACCTCCCTGAATTTTCCTTCAGCCACCACCCAGAGAAAATCCCCTGCTTTTAAAGGGCTCATATGATTTGGTTGGTCCGCTTGGGTAACCTCCATATCTCAGGCCAACTAATTACCCATATTTGGGGTATAATGTGCACTTTGTTGCCAAAATTTTTGAGGAAAAAATAAGGATGTGCATTACACATGGGTAGTACCTGAATGATCTCATATCTTTTCTTGTGTTCTGTAATTATTTGTTACATAAAATTTCTTGTACCACAATATGTTAAAAAATAAATGCTAAAATCCCTTTATAATACAAAAAACAAGTATGTAAGTATAAATAAATTAATTGATTAAAAAATTAAAATGAAAGATTTTTTTCCTGAAAGTTTGGGCCAGAAACATGGGTGTACATTATACACGGCAGTACATTATACATGGCAAAACACAGGAGTAACCTTAGTTATATCTGGAAAAATCCTCTTTTGTCATGTAAGCTAACAGAATAGCAGGAGTAAATTGGCGGCAAAGTTCATGGGTCCCTCTTAGGATCTTGTCATCCATGGTGATCTTCCAGAAATTTGCTTATAGTGCTTTTATAGTAGCCTTCATTTTTTCCCTTTTTAAAGTAAGTGATTTGTTTAGACATGTTGGCTGTCTCTAACAGACAGATAAATCTTTAGGGGAAATAAGATATTTTTTCCTCAATAAATTGCTCTGGAAGAGAGACAGCTAAGACAAATACAAAAGGAAAATACAGTTGACTTTTGAACAATGTGGCAGTAGGAGCATTGACCCTCACACAGTCAAATATATGCATATAATTTCTGACTCCTGAGAAACTTAAGTTTTCCTTGGTATCCAAGGAGGATTCTTTCAGGATGCCCACAGATACACAGATGGACGGATGCTCAGGTTTCTGTATAAAATGGCAGAAATCAGTACATGCAGTTGGCCTTTCACATCCACAAATTCCCAACTGTAGATCAAAAACAGTGCAAGTATTTACTAAAAAACAATCCGTGTATAAGTGGACACATGCAGTTCAAAGGTGTTGTTCAAAGGTCAACTGTAAAAGGAGGGTGATGAATTCATTATGTCTAATCAGGCAGCAAAGAGATGAGTTGCCGTTTACAGAGGGGGTTCAGAATTCTGTCTATGGAAACCAAATAATAAAAAGTTGAAAATTTGGGGAAGGCTGAGACTTGAAAGGCACACATGATACTTTGGACTATGAAACTGAATTTTATCTCAGCTGAAAAATGCAAGTTTGGAGCCTGCCAGGAATAAAGCAGCTAAAACCATATTCTAAGAAAGCACCCCCGGAGTTGGTCCTGTGGCTCAGGTAGTCTCTCAGCCATGAAGAGGTAGCAAGGTGCCATCTCCAGGCCACATTGCTCACCCTTGAGACAGGTTAGTCAGCCAAGGCAAGTAGAATAGGGAAACTGAGACAGTTAAATGTCCAAGCAGTTTATGGCCATCTAGTAAATCCCAAAATCCTATCTTCTCTAAGGAAGGATGCCAGAGTAAATAGTTTATTCTATTTCCAACTAGAGAGTAAATAGCTTAAATCACCCTACTCAGGGAGATGGATAGCATAAATCCAATTAGTGCCATTTGTGCAACCACACCTAAGGATAGATAAAGTTGGGGAAATAAATCTCATGTTGGTGCATCAGCATAAAACTGATGAATATTCTATGGAGATCCTGTCCTAAGACCTCCCCTAAAATTCCCACCTCTAGAAAACAGGTAAGAATTCTCAAGACTGAGACCCAGCACGGGCTCTATCTGGAGGCTGCCCATGCCTTTCTTCCCTCTCAGAAGTGCAACTTTACTTTTTCTTCTAAACTCTAAGGGCCCCCATGAGACTTGCAACGAGGGAGCATTGAGCAGAAGCAGTTTGTCCCGGCCTTTACCCCTGAACTTACCTCCAATGTCCCCTTTTCTCTGACTTTTCAGTGAGCCAAAGCAGCCGCCCCACCTCGACTCACTTCTGTCACTGTGACTTCTACTTCTCAGTGACTCCATGCAGCCCTGTGTGGCTCACTCCTTTCCAGAACATTTCCAGGGAGCCAAAGCAGAGCACTGCCTAATCTCTCTCCTGGTGCTTCTTCCACCATAAGCCCTTCCTCTGTTTCACTGCTCCCAGCTTTAACAAACATACTTTCAAAATCATCTGGACTCATGTTGTGAAATCTTTTCTGCCCAAAGTCAAGAACCCATGCACTACTGGCCAGCCCCAGGCAGACCTGCTCTGGGCTCAGTTCCTCTCCAGTAACACCCTGACCTGGACCTTTAACCATCTCCTGGTCCTAGGTTGTTAACCAAGCAAGCACAGCAGGCTCTGGCTCTCCCTCTTTCCCTCAGGTTTATAGTTGACAAATAAAGTGTACAAATGATGATTTGAGACATGTGTACTTCGTGAAGTGATTATCACAGTAGGGTTAATTAACGTGTCAATCACCTCACAGAGTTAAGTGTGTGTGCTGAGAACACTGAAGATCTACTCTCTCCGATAATTTCAAGTATGCAATACAATATTATGACCTACAGTCACCAAGCTGTATGTTAGGTCCCCAGGGTTCATTCTTCTCATAAGCGTTGTGGCCTTTGACCAGCACCCTCCCCATTTCCCTCGCTCCCTTACCCCACCAACCCCACCCCAGGCAACTGCCCTTGCGTTCTGTTCTATGGTCCAACCTTTTGTTGTTTGAGGTCCTACATACAAGTGCTACCATACAGTGCTGGCCTTTCTCTGTCACATGTGCCAGGGTCTTGACGATAACCTGCTCCCTCAGTCGAGGAGCTGAGTGTATGGCAGCTTTTGTGTAAGCCGTCTTGTAGTTGCTGCATTGATTTGCATGTGCTTTCTTTGTTTTAAGATGCTGTAGATAAGAGAACCTTCTGTATTAAGTTTATACATCTGATTTGTTAAATTTACAAGAGTTTTAAAGAAGTACACAAATATCTCACATATTAGATTTATAAGCTTGACTTGTATTAGGTGTTTGAAATATTTGAATTACTTTGTCAAATTGGTAATGAAAACTTGAACTGTTGAAGAAAATCTAGTTAATAAAGTTTCTAAATAGCGTTAACATATAAGGGCCTAATCCACCAAATTTATAACCTAAGCATTAAGTTAAAAATAAATTCAAGTGTTTAAAACTATCACAATATCAATCTCAAATAGAGTGACAAGATTTGTGAGTTGAAAGTACAGCCTTACAAAAATTAGTTAGAAAATATATCTTTTATAAATGAAATATTTACACAAACATAAGGAACTATAAATATTCCGTGCCAAAAAAAGCAGCTGTGGGGCATGGAAAATGCAATTATCATTTTTAAACACTGAAGAGCAAGGGAATGGCAATGGAGCTCAGTCCCAATAGCCACTGCTTATTATGCACCAGCTACGCATCCGTTCTGTGGTATATGCTGAGTTTGTTCACCTGTCTGTTTTTCCCTGACCATAAGAGATAATATAAATAAAGTACCTATCTCTGTAAGTGTCTGTTGAATTGAGCTCATAATCTTTTTAAATTTAAAAATATTACTCCACATACTAGTTGGGATTTCCTTGGTCAGAAGCATTAGAAAATTAAGTCAAACTGTTTTAATGACAGTGACAGTGACAATGCAGGGAGAGGAGAGGGATTTAGTGGTCAAGCCATTTAAGAAACCGATGGTAGAGGAAGTTCAGCGCATGGACCTTCCAGGGAACAAACTGTCCAGCTATGGAGGTGCAGGTTAACCGACAGCCGCCAGGTCCCGGGCACTCAGTGTCCTCTCCCTGTGGTCCCCTGAGCTGGGTCCACTCTCCCTGTGGACAGCCCAGCCAATAAGCACAGCAAGAACACCAGGACCTGGGCAATTTTGCTCCATGCAGGGCTTCTCCAATGAGCGATCTTTCAGGAAAGCTAGCTCCCTGGTGGGTTGGTAAAACTACGTAATCTGCATCCACAGGCCAGGTCCTCACTGTCCAGTCCTGTTTTGTACTCTCTGCTTTCATAGGTGTCAGACCTGCATCAAGGATCAAAGACTTTCCCTACCCAGTATGCTCCTTCCTCCACCTGTATCTGTCACCAGCGTAACCCCGGTAAATCCCGGGCACTGGTAACTCCGTCTCTGCTTCTGCCTACCAGAGGCCCTGAGTGGACATTTAGGCAAAGTTTGGTCCAGCACTTTAATGATGCCACACAGCCCACTGTTGTTCTGTCTCTCTACTCTGGCTTCCACAGTGGCGGAGTCTCCCTACGCTGTCACTCTTTATGACAGCATCTTGCCACAAGCATTACCTGGAACTACCTGCTTCCGCATTCACAACTGGTGGAAGGAGGCAGCCTCTTTTAGCAGCATTCATGAGAGAGAGAATGATTTTCTTTTCCAGGTGCAACCCATCAAACCCCTCCTTTCTGTCCTCTAAAGGAGGGAGTTATAGTCCCATCCCAGCCGTCAGGACTAGGGCCTACCCTTAGAGCTGCAGTGAAATCAGTCCCAGCCGGTCTGCAAGGCTGGGAAGCCCGGGTCCCATTAGAAAGGCGACAGGGAGAATAAACCCTGGGGCTGCAACCGCTGCCCTTCCCTGCGATGCTTCTTTTCATGTAGTTTCTATTAAGAAGATGAAACAGTTTACAATACCCCAAATGGAAACAGGTTTGAAATTGACTTCTACTGTAGGCCGCTGGTCCTGACCTAGTGCGAGACCACAAGCAAGGCTGGCTGCACAAAGTATTTATGTCTATGACCTGCCTACACAGGACCCTTCTTTCGCAATTTTGCAATTTCTGGGGAATGACACTTTTGCAGAATTAACAAATTTTTCTGTTTTCTCCTAACTATTTTGAGCCCTAGACCATGATATTTTCGTCTGAAGTAAACAGAATACCCTAATTTACTTGAGTCCTTTAGGATCATTTTTACCTATTTTAGTTATTTGCAGCTACTTCATAAAAATGGTCACATACCAGTTAGGTTCTTAGTTCCAGATCAGAAGGGTAAGCATCTCTGAGCACTACCCATATCACACTACATGGTCAGTCCCAAGAGGATGTCACTCCTACCAGCAAAGGGCATAGACACCAGAGCATAACCCACTAATAACACAGGCAGCGGAGTCCAAAAGCTGCCATTGGAACTGTGGCCACTGCAGCTTCTGGAAGCTGGATGTCCTGTCACCTCTGCCTCAGACTTGCCAGAGTAGATTCTGGAGACCGCTTCCTTCTTCAGGTTGTTGGGTGCCCATTAAAACAGGGACCCGATGGACCAGTGCATCTGATTAGGGAGCCTACGTCCTGAGCCATGGCTGCAAGGGAGGAGTGGGCAGGAGATTTCTGTCTATCAATTTCTGCTCTTAGAATGGGAAGTGAACTCTGCCTTCACAAAATGGAAGATTCCAGATGCTGGATTCTCTGCAATGGCTTTTGTTCTGCTAGAGTCTCCTGTGTGTGATCCTCAGAAGGACTTTGTGAGAGTTTCTTAGCACCTAGATCCCATCAGAAAAGAATACACTGGCGCCCAAATGCGTCCGGCAGGGACAGCGTCAGTCACAGCTGTTGCGAATGCCATTCAGTTGGGGCTTTTGGGGGAAAGCTGGTGACCACATTAATAACAACACTTGTATTCTCTTTTGTTTTTGTTAGTAGGGCAAAAGCATATTGCCTTTGTTAAAGCTAAACCCATAGACTTTATACAGAGTACTTGCCTCTATTATCTCACCATTCCTATAAACATTCATCTTGGGAAGATTAAATTCAACTCAGCAAATGTTTATTCAGCTCATAATAAATGCAAGGCCTTGTGCTAGGCAATAAGGGATGACAAATTTGTCTTAAATTGTCACTGTGGTGACTACCGAGTTGTTATTTTAATTCTTCGTCATAGAATTGGGCATTAACTATTCATGATCTACTTTTATATTTCACTGTCAATTTTCCATTATTTCCAATTCTGCGGAAGAACTCCAAAGTCTCCACAACACATTTTTAGAGGTTAATTTTTACTGCAATTTCTCTCTTGTTCATATTATGAATATTATTTTAGAATCAGACAATATATATTTGAATATAAAATGCAACTGTTAAAGATGTTAATTATTGATGTACAAAATGTACTACTGTTATTATTATTATGGTAAAGGAACATTAGAGATTCACAAATGTAAGTATGTGTTTGAGGAGAAATACTGTTTATGCCGGCATTAGTGCTAACGTGATATTCAGTCACCAGCAGAGGAGACTGAGGAGAAAACACTGATCGGAGCCCTGTGTTGCTGCTGGAGCCTGGTGCGGTCCCACACTACCTGAGGTGGATAAAAAGGTAAAGGTCATGGCGCATCTTAGAACTGAGTTTTGAACTGGCTTTCATTATCATCTTCATATTCAATGAGTCCTCACTTAATGTCATCGATAGTTTCTTCTAAACTGACTTAAAGCTAACCCATTTTACCACAGCCTAATAGCTAGAAGCTAGAACTAAGTTCCTATGGCATATTTCTGGTCATGAAAACGTCACCAAATTTCTAATTAAAGATCCAAGATATTTCTAACGTTAAACATGGCAATAAACATGAACTGTACATTCATTTAGGGAAGATTAATTATTTTTTTTAAAGTAAGAGAATTATTGTCTAACCTGCTTATTCCAGTTCAAGGTCACAGGTGGCCAGAGCCGGTCCCGGTAGCTCAGGACATAATTACGGCTCAAACCCACCCTGGACAGGATGCCCTCCCATCTTCGAAGGCCCCTATCACCTCACTCAGACTGCGACAAGTCAGACACGCCCGCTCACCTGCCGTGCACATCTTTAGGACGTGGGGGAAGCTGGGGTCCCTAGAGAGAACCCACACAGACCGTGACCACAGCCTGGGAATGTTTTTTTTCTCATAGACATCACAACAAAATGACATTATTCAAGGACATGCCATATTTGCCAGTTTGTGATCCATTCTAACTTCTGTACAGACTGGTCATGTTACATACTCTCTAATCCTTTCATTTCTCCACCTGAAATCCAGTCTTGATCCTAGGGATGAGGAAATCACACTTTTTACTTTAATTTCGAAAGTGGCGAGACATTAGCTGAGAATAAGTGAGTAGTAAATACAGAAGTAATACTCAGGACCTGTGTCTCTGCAGTCAGACACTCCTGG